ATATGTATAACACTTCGTTCAATAATGTGTGTGACTAACTAATTAAAACACATTTTTTTGCCAAAATTCGTTTTTATTTATCAACATACTCCCCTTTTAGGGAGATACAATCATTCCAACGCTTTTGCAATCTTTCGATACCGCCTTTGTAAAATGATTTTTCTTTGCCTTCAAAATAGACGTTAGTTTCGGCGATTACTTCATCATTTGAGCCAAATCTCTTACCACGGAGCATCTTTCTGAGGTCTGCGAAGAGCCAGTAGTCGCTGGGGGCCAGATCTGGAGAATACGGTGGGTGCGGCAGCAATTCGTAGTTCAATTCGTTCAATTTTGCCATCGTTTTCATCGACTTGTGACACGATGCATTGTCTTGGTGAAACAAAACTGTTTTCTTCGCCATATGAGGCCGTTTCTTTGCGATTTCGTCTTTCAAACGCTTCAATAACGCTATATAATAATCGCTATTGATGGTCTTCCCCTTCTGGAGATAGTCGATGAATATTATTTCATGCGCATTATTATTCCATACAGACGCCATAACCTTGCCAGCCAACTGCTGCGTCTTTGGTCGCTTTGGGCGGCTTTCACCGGCTGCATGCCACTCAGCAGACTACCGATTTGACTCTGGAGTGAAATGGTGGATCCATGTTTCATCCATCGTGATGTACCGACTCAAAACCTCCGACTTATTGCGCGTAAACATGTCCAAACAGCTCTTTGAATCATCGATTAGTTGTTGTTTTTGCTCTGGTGTGAGCAAACGCGGCACCCATTTGCAAAACACCTTTTTCATACTCAAAAAAAATATTATGTTCGTGTATTATGGTGTGTACACTGCCTGCTGATATCTGTAGAATGCCAGCAATCTCCCTCACTTTCACTTTTCGGTCGGACATAATGATTTTCAGTGTTTTTTCAACGTTTTTCGGAATAACAGCGTCATTTGGCCGTCCAGTAGATGGAATGTCATCGGTGTCTGTACGACCACGTTTGAATTCGGCATACCAATAACAAATGCTTCTTTTTGATGGAGCAGAGTCCGAATAATGTTTTTCAAGCCATTCCTGGCATTGAACAATATTTTTTTTCATTAAAAAACAATGATAAATCAGCACACGGAATTGCTTTGAATTCATTTTTTTTTGAAAACTCAAAAGTAGCGTCACTTAAAGCACTGCAACTTGTAAACAAATGGTCGGATTAACATATGATTTTGACAGTAAGCCTAAAAAGGTTGCCACTTTCGAAAAAAAATATTTATTTAGTATTAGTGCCGCCATCTATGTGTCAGTCACACACATTATTGAACGAAGTG